GAAGTTTCAAAGAACCAGAGGAATATTATGTGTCTCACCAGTGCTATACTGTGCCCTGGTTGACTCATCCATTCCTTGTGACCCTTCTGTGAGGGGATGGCCTATAAGACTAACTATGTTAATGCAAACTTAGATGACACTGATAGAAGAAGAATGCTCCAATAATCCAACACACATTTTTTTCACTCTGCCCTGGTCCTTTATCTGGGGTGTCATATTTATTTCTCGACACTCCGACTTAAGCGAGACATCACCAATGAGAATATACCTGGTTGGAAAATTACAATTATGAGTGCTCTGGAAACAATATTAGACATTGGTGGAGTTTATTCTGACGAAAATATGAGACAGGGGGCATAATACCAACTTTGCAATTGTTGAAGGGGCATCATATTGAAGAAGGAACAGAATTGCTTTCCATAGCTCTAGTGAACAGTATTCCAAAAAGCCTGTCAAAAATTACAGCCATGAAAACCTTATGGAGCAGTTCTGTTTTAGAACACATGGCATCACCATAAGTCAAAGGCCAAGTTAAGTGCAATGTCATGAGCGAAGAGCAACAACAGTGGATAGTACTAAAGGGGAGATGTTACAGAGAAACAAAGTTCAGCTAGAATAAGATGTCACAATTATTTCTTAGAATAATTGGTGTCTCGTGCTAGAGTGAGCTGACTAAAATAATTATACACTCCCTTCCAGTAGGCTTTTTTCAGACAGGTTCTAGATAGTAGCATAAACAGGACGCTGTAGGGAACATTTCTCCATTGAGAGGAAGTTTAAATTAAGAGGGTGTTTTTCAAATTGAATTGCAACTCATTACCGGTATCCTGAAATCAATTTAGTAGGTCATAAATGGTGTTGTTTAAAAGTGAATTAGATATAAATAGCAGTCCCCATCAAAAGTCCAACAGCTTTCTTTGTAGAAATGAAAAAATCCTCAAATTTATAAAGAAGGCAAGGAATTCTGAATAGCCAAAACAATCTCAAAGAAGAAAAATAAAGTAACAAGGCTCACACTTCCTGAGTTCAAAATATACTATAAAGCCACAGTAATTAAAACAGCTTGGTACTAGTATAATAATAGATAGACCAATGGAGAGAACTGCAAGTCCAGAAATGAGTCATTTCATCTATGGTCAACTGATTTTTTTATAAGGATGTTAAATACATTCAGTAGGGGGGGAAAGTTTCTTCAATATACAATGCTGCGAAAATTGGATTTCCACGTGCATTGAAATGAAGCAGAATCCATACCTCACACCGAAAAAATACACACAATATTCAAAATGGGTCAAGGGTCTAAATTTGAAAATAAAAACCATAAAATTCTTAGAAGAATGTATAGGCTGTGGCTGAGGGTCCACCAATGGACTATCAGATTGCAAATAAAAGCACCATCAGCAAAAGACAGACCATATAAATGAGACCTCACAGGAATTAGATATTTCTGTATATCAAAGTACTTTATCAGCAACTTGTATATTGAAGAGACAACCCACAGATTAGGAGAAAATTCTCAGGAACCATATTTCAGGTAAGGGTCTAATATTCAGAATTCATATGAAATGGCTACAACTTAACAACAACAATCTAATCAAAAAATGGGCAAAGGACTTAGCTCACCAAAATGGATATTCAAATGGCCAACAAGCACGTGAAAAGATATTCAACATCATTAGCC